TTGACAATCGATTCAAGTCTAAGTCAATCGAGCCTAACCAAGGTAAGTTCCCTAGCCCTAATAATTCAAGAACTCGTGATATAACATGTTTCAAGTGCAAGGGCAAAGGACATATGGCTAAAGATTGTCCCAATACAAGAGTAATGATTCTCACGGACGCGGGAGAATACGAGTCACAAGATGAAGTAGATGTCGCCATGGATGATGTTGTAGTTGAAGAAGTTGATTGTGAACCTGAGTATGGAGAATCACTGGTCATAAGGCGTGTCTTGAACCTCACGGTTCATCCCGATGAGTTAGCTCAAAGAGAAAACATTTTCCATACCCGTTGCACCGTCCAAGACAAGGTATGTAATCTTATCATAGATGGTGGGTCATGTACTAATGTTGCTAGTGAGTACATGGTTTCAAAACTCAGCCTTGGACGGACTAAACATCCTCATCCATATAAACTACGATGGCTTAATGACAAGGCTGAGATGAAAATCACGGATCAAGTACAAGTACCATTCAAAGTGGGAAAGTATATGGATCAAGTCTTGTGTGACGTGGTTCCTATGCAAGCTTGTCACCTTCTACTTGGTAGACCGTGGCAATTTGATAAGGATACCATGCACCATGGGCGTAGTAACATGTATTCTTTTGTCCATGATAAAAAAAAATATAATCTAACTCCTCTTACCCCGAATCAAGTGCATGAAATTCAAATTAAGATGCTTAAAGAGAAGAGTTCTTCTTCTAAGAGTAATTTTCTGATCAAACCTAGCTACATAGCTAAGACACTCACTTGTAAAGAACCGGTATTACTAATGATCTTTAAGGAAGTTTTGAACGCAGGTTTTAGTGCTTTGGAACAAGATCTTCCTAAAGAGGTGAAGGACCTTTTGAACCGGTATGCTGAGATATTTCCAGATGAAATACCCCCTGGTCTACCTCCTATAAGAGGAATTGAACATCAAATAGATTTGGTTCCGGGTGCACCATTGCCCAATAGAGCCGCTTATCGAGTTAACCCGGAGGAAGCTAAGGAGTTGGAGAAACAAGTGAAGGATCTATTAGACAAAGGCTACGTGAGAGAAAGCCTAAGTCCATGTGCTGTACCAGTCCTCTTAGTACCAAAGAAAGACGGAACTTGGAGGATGTGTGTGGATTGTCGAGCTATCAACAACATTACCATCAAATACCGACATCCAATACCAAGGTTAGATGATATGCTTGATGAATTATCTGGATCTAATGTGTTTTCTAAGATTGATCTTAGGAGTGGATATCATCAAGTAAGAATGAAGGAAGGTGATGAGTGGAAAACGGCTTTCAAGACCAAGCAAGGTCTTTACGAGTGGCTAGTAATGCCATTTGGGCTTACCAACGCACCTAGCACCTTCATGAGGCTTATGAATCAAGTTCTAAGACCTTACATCAGTAAGTTTGTTGTGGTATACTTTGATGATATACTTATTTATAGCCCTACATTCGATGATCACCTAGTTCATTTGGAACAAGTTATTCAAACGCTTCAAAAGGAAGGTCTTTATGCCAACCTTAAGAAGTGCACCTTTTGTACTAATGAGCTTGTCTTCTTAGGCTTTATAGTGAGTTCACAGGGACTGAGAGTGGACGAAGAGAAAGTCAAAGCCATACAAGAATGGCCGACACCAAGCAACATTAGTCAAGTAAGAAGCTTCCACGGCTTGGCTAGTTTCTATAGGAGATTTGTGAAGGATTTCAGCACCCTTGCTGCACCACTCACCGCTGTGATAAAAAAGGACGTGGAGTTCAAGTGGGGAGAAGCCCAGGAGCAGGCTTTTACAGCTCTAAAGGATCGGTTATCGAATGCACCGGTTTTAGCTTTACCAGATTTCACTAACACTTTTGAGATTGAGTGTGATGCATCAGGATTAGGTATTGGAGCTGTGCTCACTCAAGGAGGCAAACCAATAGCCTATTTTAGTGAGAAACTCAATGGAGCAACACTCAACTATCCTACGTATGACAAAGAATTGTATGCCTTAGTCCGCGCCATGGAGACTTGGCAACACTATCTACTCGCTAAGGAGTGTGTGATTCATACGGATCATGAGACCTTGAAGCATCTAAGAGGTCAAACTAACCTAAAGAGAAGGCATGCAAAGTGGCTCGAGTTCATAGAGACGTTTCCCTATGTCATCAAATACAAGAAGGGAAAAGACAATGTAGTAGCCGATGCACTTTCAAGACGACATGCTCTCATCTCTACAATGGATGCTAAGGTTCTTGGTTTTGAATTGATTATACCTTTATATGAGTCTGATCCTGACTTTGCAGAGAGCTATAAGAATCCAGGCAAGGGAGGTCACGTGTCCTTCTACATTCATAATGGCTATCTCTTCAAAGATAAACGGTTATGTATCCCGCAATGCTCTTTAAGGGATCTTATAGTCCGAGAAGCTCATGGAGGAGGATTAATGGGTCACTTTGGCGTGGAGAAGACTTTAGCCATGCTCAAAGAACATTTCTTTTGGCCTCATCTCAAGAAATCAGTTGAGACTTTCATTGCGAGATGTATTACTTGCAAGAAAGCAAAGTCTAGAGTCCAACCCCACGGTTTGTATCTTCCCTTACCGATTCCTACTTCTCCTTGGATTGATATTTCCATGGATTTTGTGCTAGGTTTGCCCAAAATCAGGCACAAGGACTCCATATTTGTCGTAGTGGACCGTTTTTCCAAGATGGCTCACTTCATACCATGTGCTAAGACCAACGATGCTACCCAAACCGCGGATCTCTTCTTTAAAGAAGTTGTTAGATTACATGGCGTTCCAAGGACTATTGTGTCGGATAGGGACACCAAATTTCTCAGCCACTTTTGGAGGACATTGTGGAAGAAATTAGGCACCAAACTACTATTCTCAACCACGTGCCACCCGCAAACTGATGGCCAAACCGAAGTTGTCAACCGCACGCTTGGAACACTTCTACGAGCAACAATAGGGAGAAATCTTAAAAATTGGCTCGATGCCTTACCTTTTGTTGAATTTGCTTATAATAGAGCTATCCATAGTGCAACACTAATGTCTCCATTTCAGGTGGTCTATGGATTCAATCCCAATACGCCTTTGGATCTCACACCACTTCCACAAAAAGACTTCTTAGACTTAGATGGTGAAAAGAAGGCCGATCAAATCAAGAAGCTCCATTTAAAGGTTAAGGAGAGACTTGAGAAAACGAATGAGCAACGAGTTAGAGCAGCCAACAAGGGTCGGAAACAAGTTATTTTTGAAGTAGGAGAATGGGTGTGACTACACATGCGACCGGAGAGATTCCCCAACCAAAGGAGCTCTAAACTTTCACCCCGAGGAGATGGACCATTCAAAATTTTGGAGAAGATCAACGACAATGCCTACAAGCTAGATCTTCCAAGTGAGTTCAAAGTGTCAACTACTTTCAATGTTTCTGACCTGGCTCGTTTTGATACAGGAGAAAACGTTTTGGGGTCAAAACCACATGAAGAGGGAGGGAGTGATGAGGACATCGAACCACCAAGTCATATTATTCAAGCTCCCTATGTACCAAGCGGCCCAATGACTAGGACGAGGAGCAAAGGCCTAGAGAAGAAGTTCAAAATCTTCCTGGAACAGCTGGAACGTGAAGGACTGATCCCTCTAGATCAGTTTGAATCCATTCGCCTAACCTCATCCGAGAGCTCCCAGCTAAAGGCCGTTTTGAACGAAGTACCACCAACGAGTCAGGACGATCCAGGAGACGAGCTACATACCAAATTGAAGCTCTCTGAGTCTACTTTCCAGAGAACCAAAGAGCTTCCAGAGATCAGCTATAAATCTCCAGATATGGGCCGAACAGCAAGTGTCTGTCTGGTGGACTCTCTAATAAACAATGAGGCCAAATGGGCTTTATTCACCCCCAAACTTGAAGTCCACTTAAGCACGTGTTCTTTGGTGCTAGAAGGCATCTAAGAAGGCTCTCATTTCGTCCAGAAGACTCCAAGACCAAAGAAGAATCATGTTTTAAAGTCAAGAGAGCAAACTTACCTTAATCGGCACCCTTGATATTCTCTTTTATTACCAACGTCTCTTTCCTTTATTTTCTTGATTTTGTGTTATGTCTTTCCTTGTTTTTCTTGCAGGATTTATGTGTTTTTCTCTTAGAATAAGTTATGAACCTGGCTGTATAATGCCTTGAGTTGTAGTCCTTATTTTTCTCACCTTTGATTAATAAAATTGCTTGTTTGTGTTTCACAAAATCTTTTGCTCTCTAATTCGTGAGTGTGTCCGAATTCTTGAGTGTTCTAAGAAGTATCAATAGACTTCCACATCTATTGTGGTTCTTGTCGATCCATCCTCCATCTCCATCTTATCCGAGTTAGTTAGAGAGGTCCTTAGACCGGCTAGTGACTCACCCCTAATTTGGCTCAAGACTTTTAGCCAAAGCTCATATCAGATATTGGGATAAGTTCCATTGTATCAGTTAACAACATTGTTACCTTGCGGATGCTGGCATAAATTGAGGAGTGCCTGTCAGACACAAACACCAACTCCGGATCATCTGGTATAGCTTCTGTCAGCTTAGTCATGAACCAAGTCCACGCCTCATCGTTCTCGCTGTTTACTATCCCAAATGCAATGGGAAACACTTGAAAATTCGCGTCTTGTGCACTAGCTGCAATTAAGCATCCGCCATATCGTCCTCGTAGGTGAGTCCCATCAATGACTATCACCTTCCTCATGTAAGCATACCCTTGAACACATGCATGATGCGCAAAAAAACAAGTACTTGAATCTCTCTACGCCAGAGTTATCCTTCTCTGTCTCCATTGCTACTAGGGAATTTAGATTTGTCTCTAAAAGTAGCTTGAAGTATGGTTGGATTAGAGCGTAACTTCCCATAGCTGATCCCATTGCATTGTCCATAGCTATTTCTCTTGCCCGCCAAGCTTTCCAATATGAGACGTTGAAGCTGAATTCCTGGCGTAGCATCCTTCTCAGCTCATTAGCTCGTGGTCCCCTGCCTACTCCAATATATTTTGTTCGTATTAAATTCCCAATTACAGCCGTTGAACCTTACTTGTGGAAGTCTCCGCTAGCATCCACGCTACATGTGTGGTTTGGTGTTGTGCTTCTTACCTCGAACCGATCGCTATCTGCCAGATTAGTTGCATAAACCCGCCACAGGCATGTATGGCTGACGCAGACAGCCGCCACGACATTAGGCACGGATTTCGCATATATGAAATGGAACTTCCGGCGAATCGCATGAATGGCTAATTTCCTTGCACAATCCTCTTTGGTTTCAAAAATCCTCCCGATGTAAATGTCATCTCCTTCGTAATCAACATCCTTTAGGGCTCGTTGGAGAGCATCTGAGAAGGAGAGGAACGAAGCAGCTGACATTAATAATAAATTCACTCTTTAATTACTTTATTATCCTGATATCGTAGTTACTTCAATAACTACTTTCTTATCACATATGGATAAACTATTATTTAGCGCTCTAAAACTACTGTTACCTTCCTCCCCTGGATCGTCGAAATATGGGGGTGCATCTCTGTCATAGAATACCGTTGGAACGGGTGTATCCTTCACGATCATCTCTTTCCTCTGTACTTCCGATACTCTTGTGTTAGTTGATGGCATCCCTATTTCTTTAGTGGATAATTCGTCCTCTATCATGATACTTTTGCCTTTATCTATCATTGTGGTAGGTTGAGGATCCACAATCAGAGGGCCATCAGGATAAGAGTAAAAGTGTGCCAGTGTTTCGTCACCTACAGTTTAAAGCATTTAATGGTTGTTTTAAGAAAAATAGCGGATAATATATTGATTATTAGCTAACATACCTAATAGCGATAAGCTGTTGTTGTTCGACGAGCCACTATCATCCATTAGGTCTTCGGTACTGAAAGAAATGCTTGTCGAAAGCGAGGTTGGCGTTCCGAAGGTTGAATCGCTTGACGATAAAGCGACCACTGGCGGCCCAATAGCTGGTGCTTCTGAACTCGCTAGAGTTAGACGCAAATCCGCATTTGGATCTCTCTTTGACTGGCCGCTACTTCCGAAATCTAGGACCCTCGCTGTTTTCTCTTTGTCGCCCACGTTTGTTGCATTAGTTTGAGTTCCTCCTAGGGTCATTTGGGTTGCACACATCTCTCGCCACATTTCTTCCTGTTGGTTTTTTTCGCCACATTTCTTCCTGTTGGTTTTTTCGCCACATTTCAAATAAATGATCCCTCTCCCTCTCCTCGTCCTCAATAACTTTCTCTTTTCCCTTTAAGCTTGTAATTGCTCCTGGGTGTGTTACTTTTTGTGGCGTCCCGCTAGTCCCGCCTGTAATTTCCATGTTGTCTCTTATGGTTACCCCTCCATACGTGTTGTGCTGCTCACCGCCTTTACTTATGTTCACCTCGTTCTCCTTTCCCATAGTTGTCATACCGTCTGCGTCACCTGAAACAGGTTTACTATTAGCGGATAACCAATTTATCTACTAATGTTATTATCCACAATTATTGTTGATTTTGAGCTGAAAATATATGCTTGATTAAATTGTAATAAAATCTGTTAATATCATTAGCTTCTAATTCTTACTGCAATATATTTAGGAATTTAGTTATCAGTTGTGGACCTGAAATGTTGCGTAACATTTGTGTTAGCGCGGTTCCCCAGACAGCCCTCGTTTCTGCGCTATTCCAGTATTTATCCGATATTTCTTTTGAACTTAGGCCACTTAGATCCATGTTACTCCGATAACTATTAACGTTTCGCTCAGTCCCACCTCGTATAATCCTCATCCGCAGATGGACTTCATCTAGATCGGCTCTTATCGCCATGAACAGAGTCATGTCCTCATCGTCTAATATGTCGATCGGGTTTGCACGTTTCCAATCAGGGCCCATCATCCACTGTGGCCACTGGTACGTTAACTCGATATCGTCTTCAGGACGCAGTGCTAACTTTTCTTTTACCGCCATAACCACTTTCGCAAACCCATCTTGCTCTCGCAGGCGTACTCCTAGTGCAAACCCATCCATCTGTGAGACGTGTTCGAAAAAGCCGTTTTCATCTTTTTTCCATTCCCCAGGGACCAATCTCACCACGAACGCCATTTTTACCTGCTGGAGTTTTCAGCAATAAAAAAGTTGTTAGTGTTCTTGTTATTCTTACCTATGAAACCCTAAATTTAAAAAATTCACTCTTCTCAACATGAACAATAAAGTACGTAATACCCAAATCTTTTACTTTTACCTTTATGCTTTGATTTCTCTGTGTGTTTATCTTCCTCTTGCATTAAAGTTGTCGGAAGCTAAGCTTTTTAGTGTGATAAAACTGGGTTGTTGCAGCAAAGCGGATATAGTGCTAATAAATAGACAAACGTCTATATTCGATATACCCACAACCCAATATATATCAGTTGTAATGATTTACCGTATCTTTATGTTTCCAATGCCGGCGGGCGATATCTTCCAAGATATCCTTAGCATTTAATGCTGCCGCACCTACGCTATAACTGTTTTCGTTTTTTCGGTTTTGTAGGGGCTTTTTCGTCATAATTTCTGTCGGGGAAGAGAGAGGTTTAATTACGTGATCTTCATGCATAGATACTTAATATTTTCATCCTCTGGGCATAGATATTAATATAGCCCTTTAACAAAACACTTCAAAATACACATCCACATTTGATAAATTACACATCCATATGTTCTTTTAAATGACTAACTACAAACAAGTATTTATCTACAACATCGCAATTGATCATTCACCATATGTTCTACTATGAGTAAATAATGTATGATATAATTTTTTATACCAAAAATATAGTAAAATGGGTCTTAAAATATATAAAAATATAATTATAATTTATAGTACAAAAAAAATTGTTATTGCTGTTTTAACACATTTTAATTATGCGAAAAAGAAATAAAAAAGTAAGAAATAGAATAAAAACAAGGAAGATATTATAATTATCTAATAGAGAGAGAAGAGAGAGGGAGAGAAAGAGAATGAGAGAGTGTATCCTTGGGTATGGGTAAATGGATTGAGAATAGATTGATGTAGTTGGAAGGCAAAATAGACAATAACTATATAAAAAAAAAGTGTGTTTGGATTGAAAACTGTGTAAATGTTCCCATAATTCAATCATAATCGTAAGTAGAAAAATCACAATTAAAAGTATAAAACTATTATATTGGCTAATTAACATCTAGGGGTGTCAAAATGGTTTAAAATTGATGGATCAATCCAAACCAATCCAACTCATGGATCTAATGAGTTGAAAATTTGGATATTAATATGGATTAATAGATTAAATGATTTAATGAGTTTAATGAGTTGGATTGAAATGGTTTGATTTAAAATGGATTAATGGGTTATCCATAACCAAACCAATAAAAATTAAATAATTGAAATCTAATATGTAAACCAAATAGAACCGAATTGAATAGCTAAACCGATTTTAGTAAACCGAAACAAACAGAATTTTCTAAAATCGCTTAACCATCGATCTCTCTCGGCGTCAAATCTCTCACTGTCGATCTCTCTCAATCTTATGGTTTCACCGGCAAATCCATCGACAACGTTAAACGACGAAGCCAACAACGTCGTTCACCGGCAAAGCCACTGACACTCGAATCCCTCATCGCCACTCATGGAATCCTTGGTCGTCGTTTTGGGACATGGTGTCGAACTGTCAATTGCGTTAGTGTAACCGTGTCGCAAGCGTAAACCTTTTTTGTGATCAATTTATGAACCAATGATCATAGATACAAGTATTTCGATGGCATTGATAGTGACAATTTCGACTATACTCCATGACGGAACTTCGCTATGGTGAGTGATGATCAAATTAGGTGATGATGATGATGATGATGATGATGATGATGATGATGATGATGATGATGATAATGATGATGATGATGATGATGATGACGACGACGATGACGACAGCGACGGCGACGGCGACGGCGATGGCGACGACGACGGCGACGGCGACGGCGACGACGATGACGACGGCGACGGCGACGGCGACGACGATGACGACGGCGACGGCGACGGCGACGGTGACGGTGACGGTGGTGATGATGATGATGATGATGATGATGATGATGATGATGATGATGATGATGATGATGATGATGATGATGATGATGATGATGATGATGATGATGATGATGATGATGATGATGATGATGATGATGATGATGATGATGATGATGATGATGATGATGGTGGTGGTGGTGGTGAATTGATGATGATGGAGTGATGAAGATGATGATGGAGTGACGATGATGATGGTGGTGGTAACATGATAGTTAGTAATTATCAATTAATTAGGATTTAAATTATAAGAAAACTATGTTATGGATCAACTCATTAAATCCATTAATCCATTCATTTAAATGAGTTATGGGTTAATCCAAACCATTTGCTAAATCAATATGGATATAGGTTGGTTTGGTTTGGTTTAACCAACTTGACACCCCTATTAACAACCAATAGACAGAATAATCAGAAATAAAAATAAACAAAATGAAACTAAACAGTTTTGAAGGCACAATCAAGATACACAGGAGAAGGAATTAAGTTTTCAACTTCTCTTTTTTTTTTTTTTGGACAAAAAAGTTTTCAACTTTTCTTAAATCGCAAAATTCAACTCTTGTAGATTGCGTTATCGAACCTTGCTTTCTATCGCCGAGATCCCCTAAAACAGCGAAAATAGATAAATGATCTTACAACAAAAATAAATTTGCCAAAATTACATAAAATACAAAAATACCATAGGTACATGGTTACTTTGTTAAATATTTTTCTTTTTGGATTATACCTTGTAGTTTCCCTTAAACTAATTACACAGTTTTTACTTTTTACTTCTTTCACTTCCACCAAACAATTCCCTTTATATATATCTTTTGACACCATAATTCTCTTCTTTTTTATAAACTTTAAAGTATACTAGATCATCACCCGTACTACAGTACGGGTTGAATTTCATTTATTACAAAATTTATATATTATATAGTTATAGAATAAAATCGTGATATATTATAATAGTAAGTAAAAAAATATTAATTTTTTTAATGTCAGTCCATATATATAATATTAGAATGAATATATTTTTATTTTTCTGTAATCCTCAATTATGGATATATTTTCTAAAGATATGAAAACGGAAAATAATATTATTTTCAAAAAAATAATATTGTTTGAACAATGAGTTAATTTATGTTAACAACCACAAAATGAGAGTGCATATAATTTAGTTAGATCAAAAATCAAAATATCATAAATGAATCGCATCTAAAACGTAGATTATTTTGAATTAGTTAAAAAAGTTAGCTATTATTTTGAATTAATTTAGGAAATTATTTTTTCAAATTCTAATTCATTGGTTGTTGAAATAGAGATTTGTTTGACCTAATTACGGAATTTACCAATTATTCACATAATCGAATATGTTATGAACATATATTTGGTATATAATAATACCAAATTCGATCCGTGTGTGGAGTCTATATTTTTATTTTACAATCCCTATGAAAATATTGTGGCACAATCTATTATTCATTATTTCCAAAATTGCTTGCAGAATTAAATTTTCAAATATTTAGAAGTGTCAAACCTTATTTAACTCATCTCATCATAAAATCTTAAAATGTCGTCTATTATAAGGATCATAACTTTCTATCATATAATACATTGCTTTTAACCCGCCGCCTACTATAAATATATTAAACATATCTTTTTAGAAAATCAAATTAGTATTTATAATTTTTTTTATCTTTTTAATCTATTAAATATTTATGATATTCTTTAATATATTAAATTAAACTTTTTTTAAATGTTCCAAATTAAAATCTTTAAAAAATTTATTGTAGTATGTAAAATTATGAATTTAAAAATATATATATATATATATATGAAATTAAATATAAATATTCAAAATTAGTATAAGGATCATAATTCATTTCATCATATAATACATTATATTTAACCCGCCGCCTATTATAAATATTTGTTTCAAAAAATCAAATTAGAGTATTTGTATTTCTTAACTTTTTGATCTATTAAGTATTGATGATATTAAAAAAAAAGGAATATATTACTCAAATATGAATTTTTGACCCGTTAAATTTGTTCTTTCATACATTGAACAATTTGTATTCGTTTTTAAAAATTCATATCTTTGTATATGCGGAAAAAATTTACTTTTTTTTTTATTATGTAGATGATATAATAATTTATTTATTTTATAGAAATAGAATAATATAAAGATTAGAGGTGAAGTATAATGATTAATAACAAATTAATGTGATAAGTTAGATATCAAATCTTATATGTTCATTTTGATTGGTCATTCTTTTAAAAAAAATTAATAATAGATTTTCGTTTTTATAATTAAATTAAATTAATTAAATTGCAAAAAATAGTATTTGACTTATTTATCCTTAATGAGTTGAATTAATTTACTCTATAAAATTTTATTTCTAATGGCATTCTTAAGTAAATATTTACAAAAAGAAATGTTAGTTAAGGGTATCTTATAAAGTGTACTCCCCAAATAATAGTATAGGATTATATACAAGTCAGTAAATCCTAAACACTGCGTCGATTTTCTCCAAAATCCAATCAGCACCACCTAAGGTCATATTAATCGGCAGCCTAATACAGTGAATTTAACTATTTTATTTAATTTAAATCTAATTCACCTATCTTGGCTAACCACGTTTCTCATTATCCAATAACAAACAAAATCCAATTTTTAAATTTCTTTTTAAAGATTATAGTGTCGTAAACAATCACAATTTCCATCGTCAGCAAACCAAAATCGTGAGGCCTATAATTCCCCTTCATCTCCAAATCATTTCCCCTCAAAATTCTTCTTTAGAAGATAAATCTTCTCTCAGAAAATTTTCCTAATTCTTCTACTTTGGTGTCTGATTCTAGCGCCAAAACCATTTTCCGATCATTATTCCGGGACAATTTCATCTGGGTTTCGATCAATTTAGGTCTTTTTCATTCCTACTTGTCTAATTTTGTAAGTTCTGAATCAAAGCTCAAATCTTTTTGTCCAAACAGCTAAATCAGAATCCATTTTCTGGGTCAAACCAATTTCAATCAAAATCAATTGGGTTTGGATCAATTTAGTGTTTTTTTATTCCTACGTGTCGAATCTTGTAAATTTTGAATCAAAGTTCAAGTCTTTGCTCAAACAGTCAAATTTCGTTTTTGTTTTTTTTTAATCGATTTTGTCAGAATCCAATTTCTGGGTCAAACCAATATCGATCAAAATCAACTGGGTTTGAGTCAATTTTAGGACTTTTGATTCCTACTTGTATAATCAGTTGAATCAAAGTTCGTCTCTTTTAAGGTTCGTTGCTTCAATTATTGTAGAAAGATTTGTTTTTGTATGATGTCTTATGTTTTGTCTCTAATGAATTTTGACAGCTTGCAATTTGAAGATGACAATTGGTGATGTTGCTCCAATTCCAAGGAGGAACAGTTCTTCCTCTGATGAAATTGTTGCTCCTTTATTACCAAAGTCTCAAGGAGATGAAGTTGCTTATGATGAATTCAATGGAGCTTCGTTTAGTGGCGCGGTTTTTAATCTCGCTACGACTATAATTGGTGCTGGTATCATGGCTTTGCCTGCTACGATGAAGATTCTTGGACTTGGACTTGGAATCACTATGATTATTGTTATGGCTTTCTTGACTGATGCATCGATTGAGTTCTTGCTTAGGTTTAGTAAAGCTGGGAAGAATCGATCTTACGGTGGTTTAATGGGTGGTTCTTTTGGTAATCCTGGAAGGATTTTGCTTCAAGTCGCGGTTTTAGTTAACAACATCGGTGTTTTGATTGTTTACATGATCATTATAGGTATAGTAATCCTCGTTTTTCGACTTTTTGATATTCTGTTGCTACGGTTTGTTGTTGAATCTTGTTTTTGTGTTTGAAGGTGATGTGTTGGCTGGAAAGACGGAAGATGGAATCCATCATTTCGGTGTTCTTGAAGGATGGTTTGGTCACCATTGGTGGAACGGAAGAGCTGCTATTCTTCTTATTACAACTCTTGGTGTATTTGCTCCATTAGCTTGCTTCAAGCGAATTGGTTAGTGTTTTTGAGTTCGAACCTGAATTGTCTGATTCGTTCGTTGTCGTAGATTCTCCTAGAATGGGATTTGGATTGTGAATTTTTATGTTTGTTCCTGATATATGATTATGCTTTTCTTTGCAGATTCTTTGAAATTTACATCTGCCTTATCAGTGGCTCTGGCGGTTGTGTTTCTCATTATTACAGCGGGAATTTCGATTATGAAGTTGATCAGTGGCGGTGTGGCGATGCCAAGATTGCTACCAGATGTTACCGACTTAACATCTTTCTGGAATCTCTTCACAGTTGTACCCGTTCTTGTCACAGCATTCATATGCCATTACAATGGTATGTGTTTGCTTAGTCATTAATTGGATACACAGCTTTAAAGAACGAAAAAAATCTCATGTTTTCGGTTTTTCTTGATTCTTTTCAGTTCACAGCATTCAGAACGAGCTAGAAGACGCCTCTCAGATAAGACCTGTTGTCCGATCAGCACTTATGCTCTGCTCATCTGTTTACATTATGACAAGCATTTTCGGGTTCCTCTTGTTTGGTGATGATACTCTTGATGATGTCCTTGCAAACTTTGACACCGACCTTGGAATCCCTTTTGGTTCTATCCTTAATGATGCGGTTCGAGTTAGCTATGCGCTTCATCTGATGCTCGTGTTCCCAATTGTTTTCTACCCTCTTCGGATTAACATTGACGGGCTCTTGTTCCCTTCTGCCCGATCATTATCTACCTCAAATGTGAGATTTGGTTGCCTCACTGCCGGTCTCATCTCTGTAATCTTCTTGGGTGCAAACTTCATCCCAAGCATTTGGGATGCTTTCCAATTCACTGGAGCAACTGCTGCTGTTTGTCTCGGCTTCATCTTCCCAGCTTCTATTATACTAAAGTAAGTTTATTGTTTATATATATCTCCACATCATCCTTTGCAGATTTGGTAATTAATTTCAATTGTTGCTATGTGGTTGCAGGGATCGTCATGGCAAAGCAACAAACAGGGACACAACCTTAGCCATTTTCATGATCGTTCTTGCGGTATTGTCCAATGCAATCGCCATTTACAGCGATGCCTATGCGCTATTCAAGAAGAACGCCCCTCGTGAGTAATCCTGGAATGAGAAAATATGCAGTTTGGTGTTTCTGAATGAAGAAGAAAAAAAGCGTTTGTTTTTTCTTCTATGTGAAATCAAATAATGAAGAAGACGAGACCTCTCTTCTCTATATGTTTGTACTATTGTTGTTGAGTGTTCTAAGCGGACTTTTGCTTGCTTCTGGTTAAATACCACCATGAGTGTTGTTTATAGAATCTCTGTATAAAAATGTAATGCAGATACATATTTTGCCTTTTCATGACTCTCTTATCTATATATTGACTGCTTAATATTTATACATATTTGGTTTTTAGAGCATGCCTAGGCGCAAAGCCACCTTAAGCGACAAGAAGACCGCCTTACGGTGACAAACCGAGTCTACACTGTAGATTTCTTATGGTAAATGCCATGTAATACGCGTGAACATATTCTAATCTGTAGTATCATTCATAGTTTATAATAACCAAATCAAGCTTTTGAATCAAACATTGACGAGTGACTTGTTAAATTCCAAAGCACAAGAGGAAGTAAGTGGAAAGAGATAACAAACCAAAATCAAACAACTAAAGTTAGATGTTTTGGATCCATGTGTGAATGTCTGTGAGTGTGTTCATGTTTCTTCTCTTACCTCACTTAGCTGTTGCTGTAGGCTTGAAACAATCTATGTTGCAAAATCCTACTGATCTTATCATCTCCCCAAACCTGTTACCATAAATATCATCATCATCACCATCATCATGATCAACATCATCACCATCATCATACAAATCTGAGAAATTGTTTTTTTACCTGTCAATGCTATTCCTCCCTTTCTCTGGTTGTAGTAGTTGCTGTTCCGTGGAATTACTCGGTTTATCAGTCCCATCAACGCTTTTTCTTGTTCTCTCTCGCTTATCAACGCTTGCTCTCGCTTTATCTGTACTCAGCTTCGGCATCTCTCTTTGATCTGTGCTTGTTCTTGATTTCTCTCTTTGATCTGTGCTTGGTCTTGCAGGTTCTCTAATATCTGTACTGCTCCTCGCCTTCTCTGTTTGCGGCACAGGTCCGTTTCTAAGATGAGGCGATTTTTCAATCGCTGATACAAATTTCCTCAGATGCTTTATGTATTGCGGGTATAACTCTAAATCACAATGGTTCCCTCCTTTGATCCAAAGCGGTTCATATTTTTCTTTACACAGATCGAATAATTGCTTCCCATGAGACCAATTTACAACATCATCTGATGTTCCCTGCATGCACAACCGAAATCCTCGGATAAATAACTAAACGACTTTAAAAGAAAGAAAAACCGAAATGGATACGAGATGATACGTACGTGAATTACCAAAACCGGACATTTGACAAAAGATATCTTCTCGATATTCTGCAATTGCAAAAACATATTAGAACCGTAGTAATATCCGAAATCAGGAAGAAAAGCGGATAAGGAGAATGTAATATTGCCTTGTAAATGTCAAACCAGTAAGTTCGTTTGACAGGGTACATGACTCTAAGACCGGAAGCAATTGCACTATGAAGAACAACAGCTCGTAGGTTAGGTAACCGAGAAGCCAATTCCAAAGTCGGACCGCTTCCTACAGATTGTCCATATAAGATAACATCCTGTTCCTTCACACCATATTTCTCCTCCAAACATCTATACACTGCTTCTATATCGCTATACGTGTTCTGCTCGCTAGGCTGTTGGTAAAAAACCAAAGTAACAAACATCATTCTTGAGAAATTTGATTGAATAAAATCAAACACAATGGATCATACCTTCCCTGAAGACCTCCCATAACCCGAATAATCATACCTAAATCATAACACAATCACATAAACAAATCAAGATTCATACAAAATGTTACTCACTTATGTCTGATCTAGCAACTAGAATTTATTCACAAATTCATCCTCAAATACTCATATGATTATCTCTTATTTGTTAACGATCTACAGCCTCAAGATGTGGAAAAACTAACCGAGAAAACGAAAACTTGTCCTAATCTATTAGGACATCAAAATTTTCGAATTTATCTACCAAATGTTGCTGAAATCAATACAATGGATCTCACCTATGTCTGATCTAAGAAATAAGGTCCAATTACAAATTCATTCTCAATTTCTCATGATTCTCCTTTATTTCTAACTATCTACAGCCTCAAGGTGTGTAGACACAACCGATAGAAAAACAAAACTTGTCCTAATCTATGGAACAGCTTCAAAATTGGTCATATTTTATCTACTAAAAATACAGAAATCAATCCAATGGATCTCACTTATATATCAATCCAATGCTACGGACCAAAGATTATATATATCGAATGTCTCGATTCCTATTTGGGTCGGTTTTTGAGGCAATTCAGCTCCAATATCGGTTCTTTAAGCTTTACAAGTTCATCATATTCACCAAAAATCACAACAGATCCATTAACATAATCTTTTCTCAATTACTCAAGATTCTCCATTATTTCTCCAGCCGACAAAACAAAAACAACTTGTCCTAATCCATGAAAACAACTTCAAAATGTCTAAACCAATCAATCTCAAGCAAGAAGAATAACTTATTACCCAATTAAGTTAACCCGAAGATGAAGGCTAAGCTCGGAGAAGAGCTCAAACATCTGACCAAGATCGGCGGCGTTGCCGTGAGAATAAAGAAGCGTTAGTGAAGCTGTAGGGTTCTTAATATACGCCGCAACCACCTGATTACCTCTCTTCGTCTTCAGCTTCAATACTTCAACGTTCTCCTTCACGTTCTCTACACCAATCAGCTTTAGCTTTCCTTCCACCACTTCGACGCCGTACGACGGCGGATTTGGCGGGAAAAACGCAAACTTCGCAGCCATTGATGACGTCACCGCTCCCATTTCTATAACAATGAATCTACAGATTTTGAGAGCTTTTCTTTGAAAACCCTTTTCTCTATACAAACCAAGATATCGGAAAAACCGAACTTTTCCGGAAAATTTACAAACTTTGCTCTGTTTTTGAATTCGATTATGGTGAAAAACAGAGAGATTTTGCACGAAGAAGATTAAAAAAGAAACTTTTTTTTTTTAGGAAGGATAAAAAAAAAAGTTTAAAAATTCAAACTTTGATCTAGATTTGGTTGACTCATTGAGCTGGAGAGAGAAGAAGATTTGATTTGAAAGATAAAGAGTAAGAAGAAGACATCAAAAAGGTGAGAAGTTTTGGGGAAAACGACGGAGAAAAATTTGGAGAGAGAGAGAATTTAGGGTTTGGGGAATCTGGAGAATTGATATAAATGCAGTTTTCACGGGGGAGGAAGAGGAAAACCCGGCGATGTGGAGGAGGAGGAGAAGCATTAGCACGTGTTTTCTTTTTATTTAATTCCTTTCTTTGATTTTTTTTTAACATGAATATTTAATAGTTTCAAATTTGTTGATTCATGATGACTCTTCATAGTCAAAAATGAGAGTAGCTTTTAGCTCCATATAATTTGCTAAAAAAAAAAAGTGTTTTTAATTTCTACTTTTAGGATTATGACATTTGTTACTTGGAGTTACACAATATAGTTATCCTTTGTTATAAAGGTTTTGTTAGACCATATTTATCGGAATAACTTATTTGGGTGTTCTTAAGGTTAATTAAGTATTAAAATAATGTAGATAGAAGAACAGTTCTTGGGTGGAGAGAATAACATGTCTAAACAGTTCTTGGACAAGAACAGTTCTTGGGTGTTCTAAGACCATTTTCTTTTATTTTATTTTTTTTTTAATGGTAAGAACATGGGATAAGTTATCCCCTTGCATATGCCCTTATGGATCAGATTTTGTTGTTGAAATGACAAGTCATTGTAACTGTTAGGAAAAAAAAAATGTGAGAAATCTTATTTCAATAGCATTAGAATATAGTATAAATACAAAATCAATAGTAACTATGTTTTTTGGATAACATAAACTTTTGAATTGAAATAGAATTGGGAAGTTTTCTAGATAATAATGATATATTTTTTTAAGAAAATTAAGCCTTAAAATATGCATAGGACAAGTCCTAAACATTCTTTTTATTTAAAATTAAATTAAAAAGAAATTTGATGCATAAATACATACAAAATAGTCTATTTAGGTTAAATTCTCTTATAAATCAATGATAATAAATTAAGGATTTGAAGTAAATAATTTTCTTATTAGAAGAAAAATTAGTAGGTTTGGCTATTTGGAATGTGTGCTTGTTGTGTGAGTGTGAAAGTGATGTTTCCATAAGTTTAGATGAGATTAGATACGATCACGTCGTGAAGTTACGACACGTGTCACTCGAGGAGCTGTGCTATTTTAGATCTTTGCAAGAAGAAGAATGCCAACAAGTTCAAAAATAAAAATCTATTTTGTCTCTGTCCTTTTTTTTTGTTCAACTAACAGAAATGATAAGACACATCTTTAGATAATGTCTATTTCTTCTTTTGTTAATTGTCTTTTTGGGTTCGTCCCAACAAAAATTTATATTAAAATCAGAACCAATAATTATGCCAGAATGATTAAAGAAAAATGAAGAAAAGTGATGTAAAAAAAAGAGAAGAAAAGTACCGAATGTTATATTACCACACTATACCTTCAAAAATATTTTTTAAAATTAGTCTTTAGATAACACGGTTAAAACTTAAAACTTTAAAAATAATATTTAACTAAACCCAAAAAACTAGATTTGATTTTTGGGTTTCTTGAGGTGGAATTTGATGGAAGCGGTTCCATTCTAGCGATAGCACGAGACGTGTGCTGGCTTTGATGCGGCCACATGGCATGAAAGCTAGAGGATTTGCGGTAAAGAGTAGGTGTTCAAGATCGGTAGAACTTTAGAAACGTTAGGAGATGTTGTCTCCAGAGCCGTGCCAACGTCGATAATCAACAGAAGCGATAAAGAATAAAATGTTTCCTCTTATAAAAAACTTTTACAATAATTACCATCATTAATATCAAAAGACATGTAAATGACTAAAATTACCAAACAAATAGTATTTGTAGTAGCATTTTTTTCTTTCTTTTCAACATAATTAATAACTAAACTCTTGAAATCAAAGTTTATAACTAATATAATCAGACTTCATGGATGAATGGCTACGTTATTCAATATGTCATGTGGTATACTCAAGTTGATGTACGATAACCAATTCAACAATCTTATTTCATAGATGAAATGGCTAAATCATTTAATATTTCTATATTATATTGTTTACATAGCTATTTATAAAATCATAATTTTTATTGTGTAAACCATAAATATCAAAAAGGTTTCAATGTTTAAGCATTTGTTTCTATAGCCATATTATTTGATTTGAGTACATATAAATAAATATGAAAAATATGCCCCTAAAAGTTTCCAAAAATTTAGATGCCCTGCTCTGGTTGTCTCTAATCTCTCACTCGACTATTGTTGCGCGATTTTCCAACAAAAATCTCTCAAATTATGCGCATTTTCTTTCCTCCAACAAAATCGATGATCCAACAATGGCGGTGAAACAAGGACGGCGAGGCGTATTAGGTTTCTTCTCTCACTCATCTGTTTGGTATTTGGTTGGATAGCTTCCTCCTTGTGATGGTGAATTTTCACTCTAGGTCTTTCTAGCGGAGTTGTGGTCGTCGGCGATGAGGAGAGCAATTGTTCCGCGACGGTTCGTTTTTGTCCGGTTTAGATCATTTCGTAGATTTTTGTTAACTGTTTATATACCCGGTTAGATAGTTTTTTAAAAAATGTATTTCCTATTTAATTTATGAATGAAAACCCTTTATCAAAAAAGAAAAATCAATTACAACTATTTTATTAAAAATAGAACCGTCATTTAAATAATTGCTTGAAATCGTCATTGAGGATACGTTCAATACACTTAAATTAGACTAGAAACTTAGCCATAATGAAAATTGGAAAGCTTAACCATAATGGGCCTAGGCTTGCTGACATGGCCCGTAGAGGATCCATTTTCTGTATATCAATTTATATATGTGGTAAAATGATAAGTATGATATGATTGTTTTCAAAACAATATAAATAATTAGTATTACATTAATTAGAGAATTTAGGATTGACATCACCTAGTTAGTATCAATCAATACAATAATAACCCTTGAATCTCTCCAGAGGTTGACACCTCAGCTTTTTTAACCATTGTGGTGTTGACACCTCAGTTAAAATGAATGACCAATGAAAACATTCTAAATAATACAACTCATTTTTCATATCCAATAAGAACCTTTCATTTTTCCACATTATTCTCTTATATAGAAATATGAAAATGGGTCTAAACTCATGGGCTTAACCCAGTCCGGTCCGGTTATGAACACAAAATATTAAATCCGTTAAAAAAAGGATCTTGCGGGCAATCCTACACGGATTACGGATTTTAGAAAGTTATGCCCGAAGATTAACAGATTGGCCCGCGCTACATATATATATATAAAAAAATTAATATATCATATATAGAATTAAATATTTTATATATTTTTGTAAATATAATATGTCAAGAATATGTGATAATATAAAATTTAAATTATAAAATTATTATATTTACAAAAAGATAGTATTAAAAGTTTTTTAATGGTGTTTACACATTAGCTTTTCAAGCTATTCTCAAACTAACACATCATTAAAACTGATACATAATCAAAATATAAGTACTAAACAAAACTGAACAAGGTAATTAATTCAGCATCTCTAACTAATACGATCTTTGAAAATTCTAATTATTAATTCTTTAAAGTTGCAAAAGATATAAAATAATTAGTAAAATTTAATATTTATAAAATTTACTATATTTAGAGTGCACATGGTAATGATACTTTTTGTAATAATTGGTTCCGAATAGTATAAAAGTAAACAATCAAGTTCTAAAATTTTATTTAATTATATCAAATCACTAAATAAAAAACTCAAAAAATACCTTTGCTACGAAAATAAATTATTAACTGAAAAATATACTAGAATTTTACTTATGAAACATCATCTTTTCATTAGATATTAACGTTGGCAATAGAGACTATAATTATAATTACAAAGTCTAATTACATAAATAAAAAACTAATCCCTAGAAGTAAAATTTTTTACAATTTAAGTAAAGATAAAATATTAAATTATAAACACTAGGTTTCTCTCCAGTGCTGACACCTCAGCTTTTTGGAGTGTTCTGGACATGACATATCATTAAAATCATCATCCAATAAAAATATTTGGATTAATACACATCAGATTTTTTGGCCAATAATCATCCCTTCTGCTTTTATTAATATTGTCTCATTTGTTCTTGGGCTCTAACATATGGGCTTAATGTTTTAGAATAGGATTGTTGGACTTCAATTTAGGGCTTGATTGGTTCTCCCGCCTAGCGGTTGTTAGCGGTTGGTTGCGGTTGTTAGCGGTTGGTACCAATCATAGAAACTGTTCCATACCACTTCGAACAGTTCGAAATCGCTGGATTTTAAAAGCTCCTTTCCGCAAGCGTTTGCGGTTGCGGACGGTTGCGGTTGGTTTAAAAAAGGAAAGAAACTGAAAAAGAAAATGAACAAATTTAAATATATATTATCAAGTCTTATATATATTCACGTTGATTCTAAAAAAAAAAAATTATCTAACTTTAATTTTCCAATATTAATAATTATTTTTGTTTTCAATATAAAATTTATTTGAATAATTATTTATGGTTTTTAATCATTAATCATGTTTAAAATTTTTATATTTTTTCATAATTATAGTTTTTGGTGTTTTTATACTTTTTATAATCATATACTAAATTTATTTTGGTAAATTTTGGTTTAACCGCTATTGTACCCGCTGATCAACCAGTCGTAAATCTCCCGCAAACGTATTCGTTTTTAACCGCTAAACCAGTCGGTCAAAATGCTAAATAATGCTTGAAACCGCAACCGTCCGTTTCCGCAAACTCCCACAACCGCAACCGCTACGTTTAAACCAGTCAAGCCCTTACTTGTAATGTTTACCCTTTGGATAAAATTGGATACAAATCGAATTAGTTAAGAACT